GGTGACTCTCCCACGAACGAGTGCCTCGCAGTCGACCAGGGCACCAGCGGCGAGCGGGAACAACGCGGCGACGCCTCCGCGCTTGCCCGCCGCGGGGGCAGAGGCAGCCACGCCGTGCTGCGGGCCAAACGTCCGCACCAGCTCCTTCATGGCGATGGGTTTCGCGTGAATCTCCTGTAGTGCCAAAATTGTGTTCGCCCCCAAGAGCCGCCGTGCCTCAGCGAGCTTCCGATTGAGAACGCGGGGCCGATGGTGGTTGAGCGCGCGAGCATTCCAGCTGCGCACATTGAGCCCGCCGTCCCCGAGAAGGGTGCTAGGATGACCGCGTCGCCTCGGGCCGCTGGAACAGGCTGTCGACCAAGTCGTCCATCTCGCGACGGGTGGCGCCCAGGTCGGCCAGGGCGGTGAGGTTCCACTGCGCCCGCGGGGGCTCGGTGACACGATGACCTTGGCCACTGGTTCCCATTGAATAGAGCAGATGCCAGTGGCGCGATCAGCATGCGCCATCTTGCCCAGCTTCTCCGCCAGCGCGGCCCGCGCCTTCTTGGTGGAGGTCTCGCGTGCCACTGTGCCCCTGTTCTTATCGACCGACGCGAACGCATCCACTCTCCTGTTGCCAGGCGCCCGAATATAGAACGACCTCCACGTGCCATGCTGATGGCGCAGAGCATTATCAGCAGCAACCACCTTCCGCTCCGCGGCGCCCAGGGCCCCCAGGAAGCGGATGGTGAACCGCTTGCCCAGCGCCATGCCCTCGACGTCGTAGTCCTCTCCGAAGGTGAAGCCCGCCGCAGAGAACCAGGGCCGCACCTCAGTGACGATGTCTTGCTTCGGCGCGTCCTCTTTGGCCCGAACCGTGAAGATGCTTGTGCCAACCTGCCTATCCCAATCTGCCGTGAGCGCAATAGGGGGCCTCTCTGCATGTCTAGCGAGGTGCAATTCCTTTTCAAGCTTGTGAACCTGTTGCTGCATCGCTTTCGAAGCCTCCTCCACTTGTTCGACCTGCTGCCCGAGCTCAACGATGCCCTTGTCCACCGCTTGGAACCGTTTGTTCGCAGCTTTCTCCTGTCGTTCAAGAACGGGAGCAAGGCTGGCAGTGATGATGCCTGGGGCCTCTCTACGGACGGACGCCATGACCCCCGCTGCGATGGAGGTCTCCGCGGCGCGCGTGACCTGCTCGATGACCGCCGCCTGCAGCGCGCTGTAATCCAGCTTGTCCTCAGGCTGCTCCGCCACGGGTGTGGCAGAGACGCTGCGAGTTGCTGCACCCACCCACGGGCCGAAAGGAGTCGAGCACCCGCCAGCGGCCGCTCCTGGAACAGCAGGGCGCTCGCCACCAGCAGCAGCGGCAGGCTCCCCAGCACCAGGGAAGGTGGAGACAAGGTCGAACTCCGCGGCCAGCTTCGCCCTTTCGCCAGGCCTGCCGAAGGGGGCCCTCCCAGGTGTGATCGGCGTGCCAGGGGCAGCAACACCACGCGGCGGCGGCGAGGACCGCTCTGGAGGGGCGCTGCCTCTGCTGGTGCGTGAGCGGTCGCTGTCGTCGTCAGCACGCCGATGACGGCGGGGACCTCCGGAGGTAGAGGAGAAAGTGTTGAGACTTTTCAGAACCGAATGACAAGCTCCTCAGCGGGGCCGGCGGCGCAGCCGGGGGAAGCGACATCGCACAGCCGTGCGGGGGGGCTGCCTTCCTGGCCGGGCTTCCCGGGGACGCTTGGGCCGCTTGAGTGCGATGCCGTCGTCACTCTGCTCACCTGTCCGCGACCATCCTCGACGCCGTAAAAACTTGGGCTAAGGGGCTCCCTGATCGGCTACACGCAGGAGCGACCCCGGGTGAGAGTGACCCTTGGTGCGCGACTCTCTTGGGGACGCGGGAGGGCCGAACACGAGCACGCAAGATGCCACTGCCGCCTCGCGTTCGCCGATCGGGGCACCCCCGTAGGCCCGCACGAAAGGACCCTCCGGCGAAAGGCCACTCTTACGTCAAGTCGACATGATGCCTCCTGTGGACTCGCGGTGCTGGTGCTCCAGAGGCGTGCTGGTGCGTCCTGTGTCCTCGTGGTGGCTGGAAGGCCCTCAAGGGGCTCCGTGGGCCTTCCTGAGGCCTCGTGGGGCTTCTGGAGCCGCCCGTGGCTTCCTGGGCTCTCCTGGTGCTTCGAGCGGCTCCCAGGGCCTACACGAGGCGGAGCAGGTAACGCCGGGGGATGATGATGATGATGCTGCTGATGATGACGATGATGATGATGATGATGATGCTAATGATGATGGTGATGTTGTTGATGATGATGAGGATGATGATGGTGATGATGATGTTGATGATGAGGAGAATACTGATGATGGTGATGATGGTGATAATGTTGATAAGGATTATGATGGTGGTGATACTGCTGATGATGATGCTAATTTTGATGCTGATGACGATGACGATGATGATGATGATGATGACGCTGGCGATGACGATGACGATGATGCTGCTGATGATGATGGTGATGATGCTGATGCTGATGCTGCTGATGATGATGCTGGTGGTGATGATGGTGGTGGTGGTGGTGGTGCTGGTGATGATGACCATGATGATGCATGTGATGGTGATTGTGGTGGTGACGATGACGATGGGGATCATTATTGCTGACGGATTGGTTGATTGATGGGTGATGATGGTGATGATGCTGATAAAAATGATGATCATTGTAATGAGGAGGAGGAGGAGGAGGAGGAGAAGGATGAGAAGACAAGGAGGAAGTAGGAAGAAACTGAGGGGGATGATCATGAGGAGGAGGAGGAGGAGGAGGTGGAGGATGAGGATGAGGAGGAGGCACAGGAGGAGGAAGAAGGGATCATGGAGCATGTGGAGGACGATGAGGATGACGAGAACAGGAGAGGAGGTGCAGGATGTGGAAGAGGAAGGAGGGTGAGGAACACGAAAGGATGAGGAGGAGGGGGAGCAGGAGGAGCAGGAGGAGGAGGAAGAGGAGGAGGAGGAGTGAGGAGGTGGTGTGGAAGAAGGATGATAATGACGAGGAGAAGGATGATGATGATGATGATGAGGAGGAGGAGGAGGAGGAGGTGGAAGAGGAAGAGGAGGAGGTGTACGAGAGGGAGAAAGTGAAGGAGAGGATGAAGAGGAGGGTTACGACGAGGCGGAGGAGGAGGCACAGGAGGAGCAAGGAGAGGACAGTAGGAGTACGACAATATAAGCATACGCATCATGATAAGATGAAGGGGTGTCATGAGCGGGGAGAAGGACTACGATAAAGGATGCGAGAGACCAACTATTAGATACACCGACTATCCACGTGATTAATTTGCCCGAACTGGGCTATACCCCTGCGAGGGGCGTTGCTTGGTAAGTCTTGTGGATCATATCACGTTATCGCCCTTTCGTTTTTGTGACAGGGCGTCGACGGCTGCCCAAAGGTTCCCAAGATCGTGCCACGACAGCCCCGAGCTCCCTCACACGGGGCACTTGAAGGGACCTCACGACCTCCCCCCCAAAGATGGTTGCCGAGACCGCCGCCATGCCGCCATGCCCCCGAGACGCCGTTGAGGCCCCCGAGATGTCCTAAAGAGGCCTCAAACAATCTCGATCAGCTCCGAACAAAACTTGGAGAGGCCCCAATCGAAGGCCTCCAAGAGCCATCTGGTCCACGACCAAGCGCTGTGTCGAGATGGGCCGAAGGCAGCTAGATCCGCCGCTCCCTGTGGGCTGCCACAGGGGTGCACTGCGTGGTAAATTCTAGGTAATTCTGTGCTCTTCTTCTTAAACATTCTCAAAGACCCTCGGCACAACCCGCTGGCCACTGGGAAAGCCGCGTAAAGACCTCAGCGTGCACAACAAATCGCCTCAAGACGGTCGAGATGGCCGCCGAGATGCCTCCAAAGCGGTCAAGATGGCCCACGATTGCCTCCAAGACGGTCCCAAGATGTCTCCAAGACGGGCCGAGATGCCCCCAAGATGGCCTCAAGATCGCCCAAGACGACCTAAGAGGCCTCCAAGACAGCCAGAGATCCGAGAGGACCTCCAGGAAGGCCCGAAGAGACCAGCATCAGTGATTTCCCATAGGTTTTCGACGGATTTTGGCGTTTGCTCATATTCGGCTTTCTGACGGCCCAATAGCGCCCAAGAGGCCCCCAAGGCGGCCCCAAGTCGCCCAAGACGGCCCTGAAGCACCCCAAGGAGGCCCTAAGTCGACTCAGAGAGGCCCGCAAGACGGCCCCCGACGGCGTCTGACGGACCAGGAACGCCCTCAGACGGCCGAAGAGCCTCGGAAGGAGCCCCCAAAGGCCCCCAAGGGGCCCGAGGAAGCCCCCCAAGAGGCCTCCAAGAGTCCCCCAGGAAGCCTCCAAGAGGCTCCCAAGAGGCCTCCTCCTCCTATCTATATTTCTTTCATCCCTCTCCTCCTCTTGTTCGTTCTCCACCACGTGTTCTCCGAAGGGCTTCCACAACGGCTGGAGGAACACGTAGGCCGTTAGCTTGGCCGACCTCTGGCCACAACGTTTGGCCCTTCCAAAAGGCAGGGGGCGGCGGTCATTCGCCGCGCAATCACCCTCGCGCCCCTTCGTGTGTGCTAGTCTTCCGCGACGCACGGACGAAAAGCTTGCTCGCTCGCTGCACCGCGCGCACGTGCCCGCGCACTGCGCTTGTCGGCGCGAACAAGGGGGTGGCGCGAGGTGAGTGTCCTTCTTAGACGGTCCCCCCCCCTAGCTCCACCCTCTTGCTCGCGCCGCCGATGCGCGCGGGGAGGCCGCAAGCATGTCCGACCAGGGCCTGGAAACCGGTGGAGCTCCAATCTCGGACTGGCCGTGCATGTCACCGCCGCCCTCATCAGAAAAGGGATCCTCCAGCGAGGAGGAGGAGGAGGCGGAGGAGGAGGTGGAGGAGGTGGAGGAAGAGAAGGATGAGGGATGCCTCCTGTGCACCTTCCTCAACGAACGCCCCCCGCCGTGCCGCGGCCACTCTTTGACCGCGGCGCCCGGCCGTGCGCTCGGCCCGAGGCGGCGGCGGAGAGGCACACAACCGCGAAGATGCCCAGCACCGCGGCCTGCCACGTCGCCTCCTCCGGCGTGAGGGGCTCCAGCGGCACCTTCCGGCGCCCCAGCCTGCGCCCTGCTCATGCTCGCCGTCGTCCTCCTCCTCGTCCTCCTCCTCCTCCTCGTTCTGCTTCTACTGCTGCTCCTCCCCCCTGCCGCCTTCCCTCGCTGCCTCCCTCTCTCTCTCTCTCTTCTGCTCCCTCTCCCGCCCTCCCCTGCCTCCTCCTGTCGCCGCCCCCCCCCCTTCTCCCTCCTCCCTCCATGCCTCCTCCCTCCCACCCGCTCGCAGACCTGGCTGGTTTGTCAGGACCCTCCACCTCCTCCTCCTCCTCCTCCTCCTCCTACCTCCTGCCTCCTGCCTCCTCCTCTTCCTTCCCACCCGTCCTCCTGCCTGCTGGCTCCTGCATCCTCTCCTCCTCTTCCGCCTCCTCGCTCCGAAGCTATGCTGGCTCAAACCCAGGTGGCCCAAGGCTTCTGTGCCCATTTGGGCTCGAACGGACCATGTGCCGTCCAGCCCTGCTCCTCGTCGTTAGCGCTTGAGGGGCATCGGGTCGTCCTCGCCTCGGCTTGCGAAGCAGATCCCAGTGAAAAAGCAAAGCAGACCGAAATCAAAACAGCAGCATGTGCAGGAGCTCATCAAATTGATATTCGCGGGTGGCTCTGCCTTCCAGGGCGCTCGGCGAGCCAGGGGACGTCCCTAGATGCTTGCCGCCTGGGTCCAGCGTCGACTACCATTTGATGCAAGTTCATGCTGTTTGATGCTCATTTGTCTCTATCACAAATGTATGTATGGGTTTTCCCTTGGTTTCTGGATGCGCCATTCCTGAGCATCTTGCTCACGGTCTGAAGCCACATGGGGCCGTTAGCACGCTCACTTTTGGAGCGTTGCCCACGGCCTCGGCAGTTTGGTACTTCATACGCTCAATGCTTGGTGCTCCGATCAACTGTGTGCTTCTGGTGGTTGCGTTTCGCCTTCTCCCACCTGCGCTGGGTCAAGCATCACGCATCAACAAACAACACATCATGTTCATTGCGCCATGGCAAATCGCTCTCGTCTGCAATGCTCTGGACTTTTCCTGCATGCTTGTGCTTGACCGCTGGCATCTGTGTTTTTTTTCGTATCGTGCATACAAGCCTCGGAACACATTGGCGAACACATGCCACATTCATCCGTCAACGCCCCCCTCCCCCCAAATGTTCAAAGTTGGTGGTGGGTCTGATGAGATGCGCTTCGACCGCAGTCTCCCCCGCACGTGCCAACATTGAGTTTGGGTGTGTGTGTGTGTGTTCAGTAATTGTTTCCCTCTACCGTATTGTCACGATGGGTGGACCTACCACAAGTTGTTTCTGCTGGGCGGACTACCTTTGCTGCTGCTGTTCTGTGCAGGCCCGCGTGCCCCACGAAGGTCACCTGGATGGACTGCACCCTCTCGACAGCTTAGCATTTACTTCATTTATTTAAGCTGGTGTTAGCGCCCTCCTCCTCCTCCTCCTCCTCCTCCCTCTCCTCCTCCTCCTCCTCCTCCTCCTCCTCCCCCTCCTCCCTCCTCCGCTTCGAGCTGTGCGCTGCGCGGGCCTCTGCTGGTGTTAGCTGGTGTTAGCATTTACTTCGTGCATCGGTCCAGGTTTGCTTGCGCCCTCCTCTCTGGAGGAACCTGGACAGCAGTGGTGGCGAAGGGATCTGTCCTGCAAGCCTTCCGAGGGGATTGGACACATGCGATGTTGGCGAAGGGTTCGAGGTTCACTGCTGCTTCGTGGTGCTCTACCTGGTCCTGTCGGTCCACGTGGTGATCAGTGGGTGTGGCCCCTTTGATTAGACATCGCCTTGTAGCCATTCGTTGTGCTATTCCTTCCTGCTCCTCGCTCTTCCTCCGTCCTCCCTCTCCCGTTTCCCTCGTGTATGCTCCCTCCTTTCATAGTTCCCTCTTGCTTCCTTCTCCTCCCTCCCGCTCTTCCTTCTTCTTCTACCCTTCGACGCGGCGACGGGAGGGAGGAGGAGACGGAGGAGGAGGAGGAGACTGAGAAGGCCAGTACATCCACCGAACATCAATGCTGCTGACATTACACCCTCCCATCTTGCGTTCCCTCTTCGCACGTGCCACCATGCGTTCGTTGTCAAGTTCATGAGGCTCTGGCACTCCAGCGAAACCACCATTCTGACACAGAGCTGCCCTTCATCACCCTGGCTGAAATTAACGCGAAGAGGTACAAACTTAACGCGCAAGGGAGTGTCCAGCGAAAGCCACATCTTGAAAGGACCAACCATGCATCCTTACAACTTTCGGTGGGGTTTTCGTTGAAGAAGCCTCGAGCGGGAACCCAATTTTGAAAAAGGGGCCGCCCTCCATCCTTGTAGCAGCTGGAAGCTTTGAAAAACATATGCACGGAACCAGGGCCAGAGCCACCATTGGGACAGCAGTTGCCCTCCACCATACTGGTTGTTGAACACATGTCAACGGAGGTACGCGGCACCACAGCGAACGGTAAGAACCACATTCTGAACACGAGCCGCCCTCTCATCCGTGTGTCTGTTGGGGTGCGAACGCCATAATTGAAGGGGCCCTGGGATACACACATAAATACACACAACTTAAAGGATTCCCAATATTTTTCAGTATTTTCGGGGTTTCTGTCTTCCCCCCCCACTTCCCGTATTTCCCTATATTTTCAGGGGGAATCGACGATTAATTGTGTCTGTGTGTTTTTTCCCCTCCTGAATACTCGCAAGCGGTGAGGCAGTCTCCGTCGGAACGGCCAGCCCCTCCCTGACAACACGGCTGGTGGCGCGGGACGATGCCTCCCCGAGGACGGCAGAGGGACGGCGGGTGGGAGCTGGACGGCCGCAGCCGGGAAAAAAACACGATTTCGCGCGGGGGAGCGGCAGCGGTGTGAGTGCTGGGGACCCAGACCCCCATCGAGTCATGAAAAAATCACGACGGAAGGTTTTTCTATATTTTCCGCCTCTGGGGGCCCTTACCGGCCCTCGGGACCGTCAAATTAGCCTGGCGAAGGACCCAACCATATGCAGCTGTGGGTATCGCATTCGGGGGAGCCCCGTATGGGGCCACGAAACGCTGTACTGGGCGGGGGGGACGCGTGCGAACTGCGCCACTGGGACCTTCGGTAGAGCTCCCTATAGGGCCACGAAGCGCTGTACTGGGTGGGGGGGACGCATGCGAACTGCGCCACTGGGACCTTCGGTGGACCTCCCTATGGGGCCACGAAGCGCTGTACTGGGTGGGGGGACGCATGCGGCGCCACTGGGACCTTCGGGGGAGCTCCCTATGGGGCCACGAAGCGCTGCCCTGGGTGGGGGAACCGCATGCGGGCTGTGCCACCGGGACCTTCGGTGGAGCTCCCTATGGGGCCACGAAGCGCTGCCCTGGGTGGGGGAAGCGCATGCGGGCTGTGCCACCGGGACCTTCGGTGGAGCTCCCTATGGGGCCACGAAGCGCTGCCCTGGGTGGGGGAACCGCATGCGGGCTGTGCCACTGGGACCTTCGGTGGAGCTCTCTATGGGGCTACGAAGCGCTGCCTGGGTGGGGGAACCGCATGCGGGCTGTGCCACTGGCACCTTCGGTGGAGCTCCCTATGGGGCTACGAAACGCTGCCCTGGGTGGAGGAACCGCATGCGGGCTGTGCCACTGGGACCTTCGGTGGAGCTCCCTATGGGGCTACGAAACGTGTGAGGGGTGTGCCGAGAGCAGAGGCAAGGAGGGGGAGGAGGGAGGAGGGCGAGGAGGGGGAGGAGGAGGAGAGGAGGTGGGACGCGGGGCGCTGTCTCTTCAAAACGAGGACCCAACACCACAGGATGCTTGGGAAAAACAACTCAGGATGAAAAACCAGTCCCGGCGAATAGGTCCGGACTTCTGGGGGTCGCGTCATGAAAAAATCATGATTTCGGGGGTCTGGGGACCGTGTCCCCGATGATCGCATACCGTGCCGTGCGCCTGATGGAATAAAACTCGCCGTGCGCGTGGTGGAGTAAAACTGCTCTCGGGACGGGCCTTCGGGGCCCGCGGCGTGCCCTCCAGAGGTCCCGGACAGAGGCGCGGGAGAGAAGAGGCAGGGGCGATCGAGCGAGGGAGACAAACTGCCCGCCAGGCAGGGCTGGAAATTGTCGTACCCCGTTTCGCATTCGAATGTGCAACTCTCGACGTGGGCGCTGCGGGAGAAACCGCAAACAGGCATATGGGCCACGCTCCCGCCAAGACTTTGGCCACCGTCCACCTCGCGTTCCCCGCGACCAGCAAAGAGCCGAGATTAGCCAGACGAAGGACCCAACCATATGCAGGTGTGAGTACCGCAATTGTGATTCCCTTTTTCGGTGGTGATCCCTATGGGGCAACGAACCGTGCTATTCGTGTGCCGAAATGAATGGCGTGGTACACAACGCGAACGAAAACGATTGATCTGAGTACGTAGGGAGACTGAGCGCGGGTGAATCTGAGCGCGAGTGCGTCTGACTGTGAATGAATCTGCGTGCGAGCGAGTCTACGTGCATGAATGCGAGTCTGCCAATGCATGGTGCACTTGTATATGAATGTTAATAGTTTGTGAATGACTGCCTCTGAGTACTCGTGACGCTGGGCGTGGCCGCCGCAAGGAGCTTCCCCGGGACTCCCCGACGGCATCGCCCGCGCGCCGCGACGCCACCGCGAGGATCGCGCCCGCTTCCTCCCCTTCTTTTACTCCCTCTTTGCCCGCGCACTCAAAAGTCCAAAGCTGCGGGCGCAGCGCAGCGCGGAGTCCCAGCGACGCGCGCAGGTCGCCCCGGAGGGGTCCCAGCGACGCGCGCGGGTCGTCCGCTGCGCGCAGCAAAGAGAGCTAGCTGGCTGGCTGATAGCGGGCAAGGCTCTTGCCGCTGGGCAGAGCGACGACGGGCGAGGGAGGCGCGGAACTCCGACGGCCTCCGACGGAGGTGTACTGGGTGGGGGAGACGCGTGCGGACTGCGCCACGGGGACCTTCGGTGGAGCTCCCTATGGGGCCACGAAGCGCGTGAAGGGTGTGCCGAAATGGGTGTGCGGGACGAATGCGGGCACACCCACTCGG